CAAACGTACAGCACAATTCCTCATCAGGTGCTGTTAGCAAAGCGTCATTCCGATCCATGGCCGACTGCGACTCGTACCCCATTGTCATCGGGGTGGGGGCAACCTGGGTTGGTGCCACTGAAACCCTTCGCCCAGTTGCATCTCCTCCTCCTCCTCCCCCACCACCACTCACTGTCAACTGAAGAGGTTGGTGTGCAGGTCTGTCCTCATTTTTGAGACCAACCATCGTAGCCACATCGGTTGGTGCATAAGACAGCTGGCCCACGCTATTTGTGGTTGCGTTTATGAGGGCTTGAGCAGCGGTAATCGTTGGCTCATGGCGCCGGCGACCGCGCTTCATTGATGAGGCAGAAGTCATTGCAGAAGTATTCGAGACCGTGCGCTTTCGGGAAAGTAGCAGAGCATCCTGCTGTTCCTGGCCGCCATAGTTCTGTAGATTGGTGGCCGCGTATTCTTGCGGCTGCCGAGGATAAGCGAGGAGGTGGCTTTCGTGAGAGGACACGAGGTTAGTTAGATGACGGTGGCTGAGGGGTCCATTTCCGCGTGAACCATTAGGATCTACTACTCAATGTTTTTTTACAAGGTCGTCAAGGAAGTTATTCATCTGCTTTGGATCGCCAATGGCATGAAACATCAGACGCGTCGTGAAAATGGGCGTCATTCTGTTGGGGACCCACGATTCCCCAAGATTGGTTTCTGATGCTATTTACATTAATTCACTAACATGTGTTTTGTTATGCTTTTTATCAAGTCAAAGTCAACCTTGACTTGAATTAGTGTTCACTTTTGACAACTCACTCGCCCGTATCTGGCGCGATGAATGCTCTCTGCACGAGCTCTGGTCTTGTTCTTGTATTAGTGAGGGAAGGTCAACAAGGGATCTGGTACCGTTATTTGAGTAGTTTTCTCTTTGTTGCAGGCAAACGCAGCAGTTTCTTACTGACGTAATAAACGGTTGGGTCTATCTAATGTCTTTAGGCCTTCTTTCTCCTTCCTTATCCCATTGTGGCCATGCAGAAAGTCGCTGACAGTGTAGTTCAAGGTGCACAATAAGACCCAGATGGCTTAGAAACAAGCATCAGATTAAAATAGATTATTTTGATACAAATTTGTTTCAAAGAGTACCGCCAATCCGTTTTCCAATTCAGCAAGTCATAATGTCGCATGCAGACGTGGATGTTTACCTGGTAATTTTAAATTAAGGCAAATGCCCGAATGTGTAAATGGTCTGCAAATTATCTCAAATTTCACGTTTAGTTTGTCGAATAAGCCATTAACTCGATTTGAAGGAATGAATGTTTGTGTGACCACGGTAGAGTGCGAAGCTGGACAAATGAACTTCAGTTTGCAGCTTTACCTAAACTTGCATAGTGATTGCCAAATACAGACTGTACAGTACCCCTTATGACCTGCAAAGTAATTTTAGCAATTAAACGAGACGTTCCTATCTTTTCTGAGCGTTGAAGCATCATTTGATGGTAAGAAGTTAGGTCGTTAAAAACAAACCTCAAACAATCGATACCAGGGACAAGACCGCGATCGGCAACCCGCTAAAAACTTAGCCATAAAGACAATTTTAATGTTGAGCCCTCAATTCAAACAAAAGAGATTTCATTAAGGAAATTCAACTTAATGAGTGTATCAAAAAGTAGACAATTATAGCCCTAAATGACTTTCTGCTTACAAATTTTCCGAAGCGGCTCTCTTTGATTAAATTTGTTACTTTGTTCCCCGCTCGCATTTTCCCCAACAGTTAATTAATTGCGTTGAGAAGGTGAGCGCAGAGAAAACGCTTCATTTCCGTCCAACTTTGTCTCTATTCTTTGCATCTCACTCCTCGTTAAGATGCACACTTTGTCGTGTATCATTTCAAAGCGGTAAAATTGGCATTTCAGTTAACACGCACAATTAATTTTTGGGTACACCTAGTTGGCAGTTACACGTAACCGTCCTCCTTTCTTCCGATTTAAAACAATTTGCTGGTTTTGGTGACTAGAGACGATGACACAGATTCCTCGCTGTTTGCACAAAAATGTCAGTTGCTTTTCGCCTTTCTTTTTATTGCTTCAGAGTTGTTAACAACACCAGAACTTAATTTTCTGGAAACTAGAAAATCCAATTACTTTGTGGAACGCATGCTCTCAAATTTGTGCTATGATTGCCATTTCTGATGGGACGGGCTTTCGGCTTGCTTAGAAGGCAATAAGTTTGGTTGAGATCAAATTTATGTTTTGTTAAAAATATGCCTTCGACGGTATGAATGCACTTCTCAGCCTTGCCTAGCCAAGGTGTACGAAATATTTTATTGGCTTGTTAAGAAATGATTACCCGACTAACCACCATTTGCTTACAAAGACGAGAATGTGTAATGCACAGCCATACAAATGCAACATTTTTGGGTCCGTACTACTTGAAGAATGAGGGACAAGATTCCATAAATCATGAGGTTCAATGTCACTACCAGAACTTGTTGCATCAATTGGAACACCATCAAGCAAATAAGCCTAATTTGGTATTTCTTGCCAAAAACCAAGGTCTTAACAGGGTAAACTAGCTTTTCTTATTGGTATTAAATTCTAATTTACTGACACCGCAGAAGTAATTTTGAGTATTTTGTCCAAATTATTGCAAATATCTTAGAAATAGGAAAAGTTTACTTCACATGAATGTGGAACGCACTTGTATTTAAAATTTAAAGAAAAAATAATTATACTTTTGCTGAGAGAATAATTTATGTTTCACTAACATATGTAAAATGATTTTTTATAGTCAGGATTAATTTTGAGATTAAAAGCACTAATGATTGACTGTATGCTTCCAAATGAACTCATGGATGAGTCGAAAAACCCCTTAAATACTGCACATTAATATACAACTAATTCAATGAAGCATTTAGGAAATATTTAGTGGGTACTCCGTCGCGCATCAACTTAAAGTACTGATTACTCTAGTTGCTTTCCTTACGACTCAACTATCTTCTTGCTTAAACATGGTATCATAATGGGTTTGGATTAAACTGATTCAGCAATCCAAAAAAAGTTTACAGATAGGTACCACCTCTAGCAATGATACCTCAGGTAAAAGTCATTGATGATTATAATTTAAAATTAATGTGAGTAATGATTTTTACACTAGACGATATCTGCGCATAATATCATAGCATCCATAATATACTTTGGCTTTTGTAACCCCGTATGCAGTAATTTTGTTCATTTAAATAGTAAAGCAAGTGAAACAGCTTAACTTAGCTTGTTAGTGGTGTCTGAAGTTAAGGGCATTTAAAAAATTGGTTGAGATGCCTAGCAGCAAAATCTCGAAATTGTTTATCAGAGTACAATTTATGAACCCGTTACAACTTCACTCTATCAGTTCTCTTGGCTCCTCAGTCTGTTGCAAAGGTCATTATTCAACCTGGAGATTAAACGATTTCAGCCTGAATTACGACGCACTCAATTTGCCCAAAAACAATTTCAAAGCATTTTAATCCTAAAATAAACAAAAACAGCTCTGTACAAACTCATGGTGAGACCTTTTTGGAAAAGTAAGGCATTAACTGCAAAACTAACTACAATTATGTTCTACATTTTTACGAACAAAAACCGCAAAGTTTTTCCACTACTAAAAGCTGCATGTCTGAAGGCGTTGGACAACTCAGCACCCATCCTATGCAAGGTCATTAATAAAAAAAATTTTGATACCTGGCTACATGATGTGTGGCCGTAGTCATCACGATATTCACATGCGTTCAGGTGGGTTAATTGAAGAGAACAATGTTGGCCTAGAAGTGACTTCATCCATCACAACTTACTGCCTGTAACGCCGCTAGTATACACTGCCTATCGCCGATTTACAACCCAAAATAATAAATTGATGGAAGCTTTTTTTACTATTTAATTTATTTTTTATGAAACTTTGGAAAAGTTTTAGGTAAATATGTTAAGTTAAGGCTAGACATATGCAATTCCTTGGTCCAAAAATTTAAAAAGAGGAGTTGTTTGTCATCTTTTATCTACAATCAAACATTTGGAGGTCTTTAGGGATCAAGAACACGATTGCATAAACTTAAGTTAAAAATGCTTATAAAAAATAATCATTCTTATCCTTTCATTCAAATATAGAGATCATTTTAAGATTGTGATTACGCAAGTAGCATAACAAATTTGTGCCTAGCAAGTCAACTTAAAGATGTAATTTAATAAAAGTTGTTAATTGCAATGCTTAATGAATTGGAAAAAATAACACACGTTAGCATTAGTACAGAAATTATTTTATTGGTGGAATTTTACCACAACCTGATTTCAAGTGCGTGAAATACTTCAAGGGGGCTAGATTGATTTTTGCGGCAATTAGCAAATGGATTTACAGCACATGCTAACGCAATTACTAGTGATTAAAATTCTAAGCCTAGATGTCAAACAGAATTTCAAGACTTCAGTTTGAAAGCTATTTCTGTGTAAATTTAAAGACACTTCACAAAAAATTCCATATTTTACACATGACATGGAGGACAATTCTGTTTTTGTGAATAAACATTCAAAAAAACATCTTTGTGGCTAATACTAAAGCTTTAGCGCCTTCACTAGTAAAATGTTTGCAGTTCTTATTTGCTTTGGTACTTTAATTTTACCAAAATTACTTAGCACCCCGTAAGCTGCGTTGTATGTCTTAATAACCAATGTCTATTAACATGATTCTGATGGATTTTTGTTGTCCACTTAACAACTTTTGACGTCTGTGGCGATTCTCAATGCCATTTTACTAAAGTCAATACATGAAGCCGCTGATTTCCGTGTCAAAACGTCTAACTTAGTCGTTTTGTAACATCACAACTCATAACCCACATGAGTTTGCATTAGGCCGTGCCTATCAAAGTCATGTAATATTTAAGTCTTTGAAAATGAAGTCCATGTTTGGTTGACATGGTGCTAAGGCACAATTCACATGGCTTAATTCCGACAATACTCTTTGTGCTTCGTTCAAGGATGATATTTGCCATTTGAAATAAGGCTTGGGACTTCTAGTAATAACTTGTAATATTAGTCACTTGATTCAAGTACAAAAACCAAGGCTAAACTAATCAGAATTCCTGTAAATTTTTTTGCTTAATTTATGCAAAAATTCGTTCACAGACTAATGTATTTTTCCATCTACAGAAGTGGTTTCTGGGGCCGTAATTGAATTACACTTCTGATTTATTAATAATACAAATTCCGGTATGCAAAAGCCCTATTTATGTATTTCAACGTTTGCTGGCAGTCACACTAGATTCCTTTAAAGTTCCCAATTTCCATTCGAAACTAAACTTATGGATAGATTGTCACCTGAGGAATCTCTGCTGTTAAAAGGAAGCAGCAGTTTGTTTACTGTGCAAGGAGATTGGTGGGTGTAAGATTCTGCGTCTTTTTATCCAGAGATTTAATCGCAGAGACGTTCTGGCAAACATTTTTAAAGTTCGAGACTTAAGAGTTTACCTAAAAGGAAAAATATTACAAATATACCTTAAAGGCATGCAATTTGCAAAAGGGTTCTACCATGTGGCAAAAGTCAATTAGGAAAGTCATTGTAGGTTTTAAAGTTGGCTTAGAAAATTACAAAACATAATTAAAACGTAGAAGACGTTTTATTAAAAGCCGAGGATCATTAATTTGGAATAAGTACAAAATTAGTTTAAAATAAAGGATGACTTACAAGTTGACTTTGTTTATTTGTTTATAAACAGTTATACTTACAATAATTGGCATTTTTTAATGTTTATCACAGTTTATTCTTTACAGATTCAAAATGCGTCATTAACACGATATGTTACTGTTATGTTCTCCTCCGTTTCTTTATTAAACATAGTAATTTAAAATGATTTATATACCAATATTACTTAAATTTACCCTGACATCGACATTTCCACAAAAATTTGTCACAATAAAATTTCTAACCTCGATATAGATCTGCCAATCACTGATAAATATAATTATTGGATATCGTGATATCGTGATTGAAATAGAAGTTATAGAATTCTAGCAGTCTGATAGAGTAAAAAAACAAATCATAAGCTCAAAATGTATCCGTTAGCAATGACAAACTCAAACCCACTCGAGGCTTTCTGTTACGTGATTTTTAAATCTCAAATAAACGGAATTAAAAACCGTTTTGTTCTGCAGTCCGCGCCGAAACGCGTGTGGAATCACGATGCGACCAATCATCCTAGCTGAATGTAACACTTTGTACCCACTAGCATTAGTTAAAATAATGAAGATGCAATTAGCTAGTAAAAAAATAGGTAAAGTTTGCCTATTGTAAGTTGGATATTAGATTTGCAGCAACAATTTACTAATCATTAAAGGTATTTAAAATTAAACCCCACTGCTACTTAACTTATCTTCAGGATTTTTCAAACGAGGTAATTTACAGGTGCCATGAAATTGGTTTCACTAAAATTAACGGCATATATTTACTGCTAAAATATTGCTTAATATAATGGGACAATATGAGCGTGAATTAAACTGTTTCAAATTTAATTCTGAAAAAAACTCCTTTGTTAAGTACAAAGAAGGGAAAAAACAGTTCTTTGCGGAATTTAAAGTCAACAATTATAAAGAATGTTATATCAGTTGCCCTCTAAAAATATCTAGCATTTTTTTGCTACCAACAATAAATGCATAAATTAGAATAGGAACGCTTTTTACACCAAAAGGAAGCAGTCCTAAACTTAATTTAAATGTAAATAAATTGATAGTGATTTTAAAGTTTTAACCACAGAGTATAGGTATAATACCTCTGCATTTTTTAGGATTACGAAGCAAACAGAGGCATTCAATCCACACGTATGTTGCGTGCACCAGTGTCGTGGTGACGCAATTCACATTAAGGACGCCAGTTTTATTTTGATTTCATATAATTTCCCGGTCCCATTAGTTTTGGTAAACTGCGTCGCAATCCTCTGCACATTTGCAAATTTTAATTACCAAGGTAGGCTTGTTTAATAACTCGACTGAAACCCACACTATTTTGCACTTTAATTGCAAGCACAATAGTGGATAAAGTACCTGATACACTCAAAATTTTCAAGGAATGATTTATGCTTTCGCTATTTAAGAAACAGTTTGATGATGTGGCTCAGCTTTGCAAAATCAAACGACCACAATTTTTATCGTTTTAGATGGAGTTCGTTTTTTCTACGAATTGCATTTTAACAAATTGTCTCCAAAGTGTATTACACAGAGCTTCATTTAGTTCATTAGGCACGCCAAAAGTAGAAGCATTAAAGTTGGGAAAAACAAAAATTCTGCTAAAGTATTTGCTGTGGTCGTTTATGAAGGCTTTTGATGCGTATTCAGGGCAACAATTAG